TTTCTAGACAGCCTTCTGTGATTATTTTTAATTTAATTGTCATAGGAAATGGTTTGCATGCTGTAGATCCTTTTAGCTTTATTAATAATTTTTTATACCAAACGTGGTCTTATCTTGGTGACTGTGTCATGGCACTAAAAAACAGTGTTTCTCTTGCAGTTCTTGGGTGAAAGAAAAGTGTTTTAAATGTCAGTTAAGCCATGTTTTTGATACTGTTCTTCACATATTTTGTATCCTTATAGAATTCTGTCTACTTTTTCTATTGATTACTCAGGGAGTTGTGCTAAAAATCTAAGCTTATGTATTTTCAGATTTTTAAAAACTTCTTCAGTACATTAAAGTATCCTTTACCAGGGATTTGTTTATCTCTCCTTACTACCTTTTGGGTTCTCTACTGAATGCCCCTGGAGTCAACAAAGATTGTCTTCTCTCACTGGTCACTACTCAAAGTAGATCTCAATCCCCTGTAAACTCTGGGAATAGTTTCATTTGTGGCACCTGTTCTTTGCCTGACCTTGTTGTGTTTCATACTGTGCATATACCACATAACATTTAGCCATAGATTCAAAGGAATTCTTATGTAGATTTATAGAGCTCTTTCTCAATGTAGTTTCTTCCTCTCTGGGTAGAGTGCTTCACAGATTAACAAATTCTAGCCACTTGAGCCTTTCTAAACTCTTTTTCCAACTCAGACCACCATGTTATTCTTGGGACCCTTCTCTCTGCATCATGGTCTGGAAAGTGCCTAAATCTGGGCAATTTGTTAGGGACTCTCTTTGTTATTGGTTTCTCTTAGGGATCACAGTTCTGTGCCGCCTATTGTCCAGTAATAAAATAGATTTTGAATGATAATCTACATACCAGAGTATCAGAAACATGAGAATAAATGCATAGTAAACCAGAGTCTGTAGATAGCCAGTGCCCATCCTGCTTATGCCAAGGCACTGACTCTGTCAGCCTCTTCCCCAGTAACCCTTTAAAATGTGGTTTGTAGGTGCTTAGCTTGACTCATGTTGGTTCCTGATGTCTATATAAAATATTCTTTCTACAAGAAGCAAATTCTAAGTATAAAATATTCATTAAGAAGCAAGAAATAACATTTTCAAAAAGTGTAGCACTGTGTAGTGCTGGATTAGGGATCTCAGAGCCAAGGAAAACTAAGTTGGGATAAGTTACATTTGATTTTTCTTTGTTTGGCCATCTTGCTTCAGTGTGCTCTGTGTTCTTAACTAAACAAATCAGGAACCTAATCTAAACATCATTGACTCTATATGTGTACCTCAGCATATGCTCTTTCTTTTATCTGTAATCGATCTAGGTAGCTGTCAGGATCAAAACACTCCAATTTTAAAAACCTCGTGTATGTTCCTTTATGTTTAAATGAACAAGAAATGTAAGTATACACATCAGACCATTATCAGTTTTTTTCAAGTAGCAGATTTAGAGAAAGCAGAGACTCTTACATTTTAGTTTATATATCATTTTCTCATTTGAATCACCATAAGAGTTTTTTTTTTAAGTTTATTTCATTTTATTTATTTGAAAGGCAGAATTACAGAGATGGGTAATTACAGGGAGGGTGGGGAGAGACAGAGAGAGAGAGGTCTTCCATCTACTGGTTCATTCCCCAAATGGCTGGGACTGGGCCAGGCCAAAGCCAGGAGCCAAGAGCTTCTTCCGGGTTGCCCATGTGGGTTCAGGGCCCCCAGCACTTGGTGCATCCTCTGCACTTCCCCAGGCCATTAGCAGGGAACTGGATCAGAAGTGGAGCAGCTGGGATTTGAACCAGTGCCCATACGGAATGCTGGCACTGCAGGCGATGGCCTAACCTACTATACCACAATGCCAACCTCCATTATAAGAGTTTTATTTTATATTGTTGGGTACATAAAAATTTAGAACTAATATATTTTCCTTTTAAATCATTCTTTTGATATCTTTGTAATGGCCATCATTATCTGTAAATTGCTTTTTCCTTAGTATATATTTTTGTTTTATGCTTTTTTTACAATGGTGTTTTTGCCTTCAGCTTGATTTTATTTTTTCATTTCTATAATGATCTCTGATTTGTAAATTTTACATTTGTTTTCCATTCTTTAAATTATCCTTAAAATTGTAACATGCATCATGTAGTTTACAAACTTTGCAGTTCATTAGTCCCTCTGTCCTCCAACAGTACAAGGACCTTAAAATGCTTTAATTCTGTTTCTTCCCATGATTTTATGTGGGTTGTTGTCCAGAATTTTAGTTCTACCTTCATTTAGAAGGAATTGTTATGGTTGTTTTATATAAATATAAAAGATATTATTTAGTTCCATGTACACATTTATCAGTATATTTCATCATCATTGCATGTTTTGTTTCATACCTTGCTTTTAAGTTTTTTGTTCCTAAAATATATTCTTTAATTTTTTTTCATTTAGGATCTATAAATAACAAATCTTGACACATGGAACATATTACATATTTACCCTCCAATTTTCTTGTTGATACAAAGAAGTGTGTTATTACAAAGTTCTTTAGTTATTAGTGAATGTTTTTCTTTTCAAGTTGGTTAATTTAAAAATTGTCTCTATGATGTCTGGGAGTTTGAAAATGATAAATTTAAGTGTAAGTGTAGTTTTATTTGTTCTGCTTGCAATTTTTCATGTTCTCTTAATCTGTTAGTTCACATATTTTATCAGTTCTCCAATCCATGGTTATTTTGACTGTTACCTAACCTCAATCCTTATTCCCTCCTTTCCTTGAATAATTTGTATTGGATGCTCTCCAGATTTCATTTTCCAAAATACTTTGTATGTCTCTACTATTTTCTGTCTCTTTGGATTGTCTTTCTTTTTAGCAATGCTCATTACCTTTTTCTGCATGGTATTTAATTCTTCCATTGAATTTTTTTTTCATTTCCATGATTATGCTATTATTATTAATTTTTGTTTTATTTAACATTTCTAGACATATTATTTGATGTTTTCTTATATTTTGTTTCATAACCTTATTTATATGTTTATCATCTCTTTTTGGTTTTTAACATTTGAACAAAAACTAATTATAAAAATTATTTTGAATTGTTTTATTACCTGTGTTTGGTTGTACATTCTCTCATTTTGGGCAGTGTGATATACAGACTGGCATTCATATCTTTGAACATTTACTTGTATCTGAAAGCTTGACTTCTTTGAGAAGTATTTTCTATGTTGATTTTTCTCCCATCCATTTTCTCTGTTGTTTTCCGTGTTGTCAAATGTTTCTGCCTAAATTGTTGTGTATATACACTGGCATTTTATATTTTTTATAAAACTGTTAATTTTTGATGTTTCTACAAATGTGTCTAGCTCAATTTTAAACCCAGTGATATAGGTTTAGTATCCTGATCTCATGTGATTGTCTCTATCCTATCCTCAGATTGGAGAGCAGAAGGACTCTTTTTTTTTTTTTTTAAATTTTTGGACAGGTAGAGTTATAGACAGTGAGAGAGAGAGTCAGAGAAAGGTCTTCCTTCCGTTGGTTCACTCTCCAAATGGCTGCTACAGCCAGTGCTGCGCTGATCCGAAACCAGGAGCCAGGTGCTTCTTCCTAGTCTCCCATGCAGGTGCAGGGGCCCAAGCACTTGGGCCATCCTCCATTGCCTTCCTGGGCCACAGCAGAGAGCTGGACTGGAAGAGCAGCATCCAGGACTAGAACTTGGAGCCCATATGGGGTGCCTGCACCGCAGGCAGTGGATTAACCAAGTGAGCCACTGTGCCGGCCCAACAGAAAGACTCTTTTTAATGAAAACCTTGCCACATAAGCTCAAATGTTGGTATTTTCATTCAGCACATTTTTGCCTCCCTGTAGTTAGCCCAGTATTGTCTCTTCACCATACAGGGCAGTGGGTCTGAACTTCCATCCCCACTCAGATTTCACAGTCTTAGGTCCCCATGGGTAAAATTTGACCCATATCCAATACTCAGCATGTTAGCTTAGTTCCATTTTATTGTAAGAGTTGTTTGTCTTTATTTGGCAATTAGAGATTTACTATCTTTGTTTTTAGTGGTATGTTTTAACACTTTAAAATACTGTTCTACCTATACTATCTCTGTACTAGAAAATGGTCAAGGAGTACACATTTTAAATATATCAATTAATATTCTGTGTCTGAGTTTGATTCCCACATCTGGCTTCTGACTCCAGCTTACTGCTAATGCAGACTGTAGTGGGTAGTGGTGATGGCTCTTGCCACCCACATAGGAAAGCTGAATAGCATTCCTGGTTCCTGGCTTTTGCCCAACCAGCCCTGACTGCTGTGGGCATTTAGAGAATGAATAAGTAGGTGAGATCTTTCTCTATATCTCTCTGTCTTTTGAAATAAAAGTAAATAAATAAATAAATTTTTAAAGGAATTGATTGAGCAGCTCAATACATGATTTTTAAAATCATATAATCTATCTTTTAAGTATTTAAAATAATTACCTAACTAAAGTTAGCAAAAATCACTTACATGAAACATTTTGCTTTTAAATCCTCCTTAAAATGTAATTCTAATTTTTAGGATTTGTTAATATTGTAAATATAGTTTTCGTTTTTTTAAAGATTTATTTTTTAATTATTTGAAAGACAGAGTTACAGAGAGAGAGAGAGACAGAGAGAGGTTTTCCATCCGCTGGTTCACTCCCCAGATGGCCACAACAGCTGGAGCTGTGCTGATCTAAAGCCAGGAGCTTCTTCCAGGTCTCCCATGTGGGTGCAGGGGGGCCCAAAGACTTGGGCCATCTTTTACTGCTATCCCAGGCCATAGGAGAGAGCTGGATCAGAGAGGAGCAGCCGGGACTAGAACCAGTGCCCATATGGGATGCCAGCGCTTCAGGCCAGGGCTTTAGCCCGCGACGCCACAGTGTCGGCCCCTTGTTAATATAGTTTCCTAAACATTCTCTGATTATATATTTTAAAACGTCTTTCTGCCTTTATTTGTTTTCTCCATTATTCCTTAACATTTTAAATATTTTTTCCTTTAATTTTTATAGATTGAATCTTCAAGAAGAATTGGATCAACTAAAAGTACATATATCTATTGATAAGGCAACAATACAAGAGTTGAACAGATTTATAGCAGAGAAAAGAGAAGGTAAATATTTTTGTGGAGATAAATATGTAACAGGCATTTTTAAAAGATTGCTAATCTGATTTTTAGTAAAATTATACAAAGCTCCTAAAGATAATGTATTTGTTATGTAAAAAAAAAAAAGAGAGAGAGAGAGAAAGAAAGAAAATCTTGCTTTCCAGGAACTTGAAAAAGGGAAATTATCATTTTGAACAATATTTAAATTTAAAAATTAACTATTATAAAAATATTTAAATTTTATTAGCTTCCAGGTTAATGTTGTCCCCAAATTTTGCATTTAATTGAACTTTCAAATTTGCTAACACTCACTGAATTGCTTCCAGTATGGATTGTGAAGTGTCAATTACTTCTTGCTAGTTTTTTAACTTCTTTTAAAATTTCTTGTATTTTCTTCTAAAGAAAATGTACCAATTTGATATAATGAAGTAGTCATCACTATAAGCATGATGTCATCACAATCATCCTCTCAATTTTGGGATTGTTTTTCTTCTATTTCTTCCTTTAATCCTGTGATTTTACTTGTGTTCCAAGCAAACTTGTTTACCTCTAGTCACCTTGGAAAGTTACATTGTTATCTGTACCTGTCTTCTTAGGAGTGGCCATTTTGGGATTCCTACATTTATCATATTTTTTTTAGAGCCAGATGCACCCACACCTACACACAAACACACACACACACACACACACATACACACCAAAAACAGAAAAGAAAGAAACAGAGGTAAAGGTGAATGAACTGTTGAAATTTAGATAAATGTTTATTTGATTTAAGAGATACTAGTTTCCAATGATGCCTCTTAAAATTATAAGGAAGGGTTATACAAATTTTGAGGATAGACAGTCTATATATTTTTTAAAGTATTTAAATTTTAGGAGCTTTAAAAGTTAGCATCTTTCCATGTAATTAAAAAAACACATTCTTTTAAAATTTGTTTGAGAGTCAGAGAGAAATAGAGAGTTCCTATCAGTTAATTTACTCTCCAAATGTCCTTAATAACTGAGGGAAGGCCAAGGTGAAGCCAGGAGCTGGGAACTCATTTCTGGTCACCTATGTAGATAGCAGGAACCCAAAAACTTAAATCCCGCATGCTACCTCCCAGGATCTGCATTAATGGGAAGATGGAATTGAGGGCAGAGCCAGGACTCCAGTCCAGGTACTGCAATATGGGACGTAGACATATTAATCCAGCATATTACCCACTAGGCCAAATGCCTGTAGCCCAACATTCTTATAAAACATTTCTTTTTTTTTTCCGTCAATCTTGAGTTTTATTATTTAAATTATCATTTTAAAGATTCTATCCAGCTCTATAACTTTGTGTGTGTGTATATATATACACACACACACACACACACACACACACATATATATATTGACAGGCAGAGTTAGTGAGAGACAGAGAGAGAGAGAGAGACAGAGAGAAAGGTCTTCCTTTTTCCGTTGGTTCATCCCCCAAATGGCCTCTACGGCTGGCACCCTGCGCCAATCCGAAGCCAGGAGCCAGGTGCTTCTCCTGGTCTCCCATGGGGTGCAGGGCCCAAGCACTTGGGCCATCCTCCACTGCACTCCCGGGCCACAGCAGAGAGCTGGCCTGGAAGAGGAGCAACCGGGACAGAATCCAGCGCCCCAACCAGAACTAGAACCCAGGGTGCCAGCGCCTCAGGCCGAGGATTAGCCTAGTGAGCCGCAGCGCCAGCCTAACTTTGTATATTATAATAATAATGTCCTCTATTTTAAAGTCTTATTTATATATAATATATTCAATATTCATCACATTTGTAAAGCCTTGCCTTTTCTATTCATTTGTTTTTTAAAATGTTTTTTGTTAGCCAAGTTATAACTGAAAGTATGTTTTTCTTCAAAGAATGAAAATAGTCAAATTTGTGATAGTTTAGATATTTTAGAATATGCTACAACTATCTTTATATTCAAGGCATAAATTGGGTGGGTATAATTTTATTGAGTCAGAAAGTTTTCCTCAGAACTTTCTACATGTTGTTTACTTTTGAGTAAAGGATTGCTATGGAGTGTGGAGATACATTATAGAGTGTTAACTATTTCCGCCCATCCCCATGTCACTCCTTGTTTTGGATTGCCTTGCTAACTAGATACCCAAATATTTTCTTCTTCATATTGATATTCAAAAATTTAATAAAATTTTTCCATATATAATTTGTTCTAAATCACAATTTCTTTGAATGTCTATGCATTCATTATTTGTCAATTAAAATCTTACTTTGTTCCAAGGACTTTTTTGGTATATGTTTTTGGATACTTTTCTGTTACATATTCATGTGCTAATTCAAGACATTAATTGCCTTTTAAATTTCTATTTATTTGAAAAGCAGAGTGACGAAGATGTGGAAACGGAGAGGGAGAGAGAGCAAGAGAGAGACATCAATCTTTCATCTTGTGGTTCACTTCCAAATGCCTGCAACATCCAGGGCTAGGGCAGGCTAAAGGCAAGAGTCCAAAACTGTCCAGGTCTCCTACATGAGTGGCAGGGACCCAGGCACTCAAGTCATCACCTGCTGAATCCCAGAGTGTGCATTAGCAGGAAACTGGATAATGGAGCTGGGTCCTGAACCAGGCACTTTAACATGGATGCCAGCATCTTAACTGATGATCCAAAGCCCACCCCACCATCAGTTCTTTATGTTAAATCATTTCTTGTCTGGGCTTCATTTCTATTTTCTTCTAATTCTTTAATCTTTTTCCTCTGCATTCATTTTATCTCAAGACTTTCCTGTATTAGTAATTCAACGTTTAGCCCTGTAGATTCTTTTATTCTTTCTGTTAAATCTGCAATGATGTTTTTTGCTTCTCAAGTTATTGACTCAGCTCTTTAAATTCCTGTTTTATTTTCTTTGCATGTTTTGTTATTTTCTCTGAGGTTTTATTTTTATTAAATTTGGGTATTCAGTAAACTATTTTCTTCCTTTGTGTTTTCCTCCAGATTGTATTTTAAGTCTGTATTTCATTAACTATACAGTTTGTCTAATAGAGAACGTTTTCTGTTATAGAGGGGATAACTCGGAATCTCACATTATAGTCTGGCTATATCAAATGGTTTGTTTGAATCTGTCATGTGGGCTCAACCCAGGAGGCCCGCATACTGCCAGGATGATGGGGCGAAGGCATTCTTCCATAAGCACCAGAAACAAGTTTCAGTGAACATGTTCCCTTTATTAACAAACAAACACACACACACTTTTTAAGGGCAGGCAGTGGGTTGAAACCCTGGACTGCAGCACTGGCATCCCATATGGTCACTGGTTCGAGTTCCAGCTACTCCACTTACAGTCCAGCTCCTTGCTAAAGTGCCTGGGAAAGCAGCAGAAGATGGCCAAGTCCTTAGGCCCCTGTGCCCACGTGGGAGACCAAGAAGAAGAACCTGGCTCCTGGCTTCAGATCGGCACAGCTCCAGCCATTGCGGCCATTTAGGCAGTGAACTAGCAGATGGAAGACCTCCCTTTGTCTCCACCTCTCTCTGTACCTCTGTCTTTCAAATAAATAAAATGAATCTTTTTTAGGAAAAAAGGGCAGGCAGAAGGGGAGTAACTAATTCAGGGCAACACTAATTCTATGGGATAGAACCGATACTGGCGCTGCTATGCTTCTCTAATCAGCTTGAAGGTCATGTAGCTGGGATAGCTTTCCAGGCAGTCCTTATGGGCTTGGGCCACACCTCGGTGCTGTTTATCTGATTGGCAATTACAGGGCCTTTAACAGGGAGCGGTGGTGGGGAAAAGTGCCTGGGGGCTCCCAGCGCCTTCCAGCAGTCAGGTTGTGGGGTCCCTTCTCAGAGGTATGGTGTGCCATGCCCTCCCAACCTCCTGCATGGTCAAGGCAGGCAGACTCCCCGACAAGTACAGCATCAACCCCAGTGTCACAGAAGTTCTCCTTTTTCTTTGCTAAGACTACTTATGCTTCTCTTGATTCCTTCCTGTAGATTCACGTTTCCATTCAGTGTTATTTTCTTTATGCCTGAAGGACTTCCTTTATCATTTCTTACAATGCACATTTAATAGTAATGAATTTTTCAGCTTTTGTATACTTGTAAAAAATCTCTTTTTTTTTAATCTCCATTTTTGAAAGGTTTTGTTGCCAAGGGTAGAATTCTACATGGACAGTTTTTTTTTATTTTCCTTTATACCCTTTAATGATGAGCATTATACCATCTCCTTGTTTTACTGTACATATTATGTCTGTCTGTCTGTCCTTCTTTCCTTCCTTCATTCCTTCCTTCCTGTTGGGCATTTCTTTTCCTTGAATGTGGATAGTTTCCTCACATGCTTGTGCTGATTAGTACTTAGGTAAAGGCTTGAGGGGGACCCACTGTAGGTCTTGAGAGCTCTCCATTTCTTGGAGCAGTTAGATTCCTTGGTAGCATTTTGTCCTACTACATCTAGCTTACTTTCCTCTCTGGCCACCAGGTCTCTCTGAGTATAGGAAGATTGGACTCCACTGAGATTCCCCATTTCTGTGCTGTGGCTTGGAAGCAGTGAACTGAGGAAATCATAGGACCCACTTTCTTTGTTTTCCTTCTCTCGGGATGTCATGCCCAATACCTGAACACCATTTTTTCATATATTTTGCCTAGGTTTTAGTTGCTCCATATGGAAGAGTAAATCTGGTCCCTCTGGCTTACTTTTATTTTTATTGAACCTGTTTTCCTTAGTTTAAATCCCAAATCTACATGCATAGTAAACTTTCTCCATGTACCAGATGTTGTATTTCTTACTTCCTGCTACCTGTTTCCCCTGACTACTTTTATAAGGGTCTGAAAGTTAAACATGTCCTTCAAGTCAACATTACCTTTCCTCTCTAATCATTTCTACCTCCTGTAGACCTCCCATGTGAACACTTTACACCTACCACATTAAATATGTCCTTATGGAAAATCACAGTTCATAGTGTAATGAGTCTTTAATAGAATCCCACAATATCTTTCTTGAGAGCTTAGCTGAGCTGAAGAGAGCTGAGCCTGCAGTGTGTGTGA